CAGTTTCATAGAGCCAACATTGCAAGTGCGTACTCAATGGCGTTAGATAAGCCAGCCCTTTATTAGGAGTATAGTGCTTTGTTTATAGTTCTACGCTCGAGGGATGTCCTAAAGAGATGAGTCTTCAGTCTGCGCCGGAGATGTGAAGCTTTCTGCGTGTGCCTGATTTGCAATGGGAGCTCGATTCCACCCATTTTGGAGCCAGGAATAGCAAACCCACGTGTTTTGCTGATGGGGGAACTTGGGTCCCTCGCAGGTGCGGGGTGCAGTGAGCTGTTTGGGCTGATGCAGGGCGAGTGCACAGTGCGGTGTATGGTTTAACCATGTCCTGGATGTAGGAAGGGCCAGATCCATTCGCAGCATGGTACACAAGTACCAGTGTCTTGAAGTGGATTCTAGCAGTTACTGGAAGCCAGTGAAGGGAGCGGAGGAGCCGTCGCCCTCTTATATTCGACATTGAGTCAATTATTTACATTTTGGTGAGATACTTATTTTAAGAATCCTATAAGAACATTTCCGGTAGATGCAAGATTCAAATTGTTCTGTTGCATTATTATTATTACAGTATATTTTACAGTTCTGTCAAATAAAGGTTTTGTTGATAATTGATAAACGATCAGGGACTAACCTAATCTACACCTGATAACATAACTCGTAAGTGTCAATTTGAATGAACATTGTTGCCATGACATTCCCTAACAGTGCTGGTCCCGGGTGTACAGTAGATACTTTTAATCCTACTTGCCACCAGGATCCCGTTATCATTTGTCTTATTTAATTTATTTGTCAAGTTTGTGTAAGATGTTAAACTCCATTGCTTTAACAAATATTGTTGATTTCCACTTGTTTAGGTAAAGAGGAAAGAACCTCAGGAGCTTCAAGAGGGAGACATGAAGAGGCCACGGCCCTCGACCCCACCAGACGAGGATGACGAAGGTTTGTTGAGCTCATTTTCAACATTGTAAAGATTGGTTTGATTTAAAGGGCCTGCTGCATTTAACTCTCAAACTGATGTATTGTTTTCAGCTCGTGCGGGGAGAATGCCAGAGGCAAGCAGACATGGAGCTGAAAGAGACAACAAGAGGAGGAAAAAGAAGCCAAGAAGTCGTAAACCTTGGGAGCTCGGCAGCGAGGGAGAGGAAACATCTGATGGCTCCTCCACTGAAAAGGTTTGGGTTGTTATCTCTTATTGTAAGCAAACAAAAAATCAAGAGCACATAAACAAACCAGAGGTATGCTTAAATGAGACATTTCAAAACCCGTTTACATCAAATGTATTCACTAAAACAGCAGACTGAGCATTGAATTATAACATATCTTTGTATTAACGTATTCAGCTTGTGCGTGGTATTGATTTCAAATGTGTTTTGTGTTATCAGGTTTGTTAAGAATTGTGTTCTCACTCTAGATGGCAGCATTTCACTGTGATATATTAGTTTTGTAACTATAATCCTTTTTATTTGTAGGAGGATGAAGAGGGAAGTGAAAAGGCATCTGATGGTAAATCACAATCTTATTACAATACATTTACTTCTGTTTACTTTCAGTTAAAGGTCATAAGGATCCCAAATATCTTCTTTTCTTTTTTTTAGATGATGCCCTTAGTGCTGATAGTGACGATGAGAGCCTCTCCTCGTCCTCTGACGGCTCTTCATCTTCAGGATCTACATCTTCATCTTCCTCTGAAGATGAGGATGAAGAGGAAGGAGAGAGGGCTGAGAGCGAAGGGCCAGACTCCATGGATGATTCGACCATGGACAGCACAAGTGAAAAACATGGCAGGTATGGAGTTTGAAACGTTGTGTTTATTCCATGTCTGATATCTGTCCATTCCACAAATACGATTAGTCTATTTTATTCAATTGACTGCACGTTTCATCGTCAATGTCACTGGCTTCAAATGTATTTCTTCTTTTCTTTCCAGGGAAAATAATGCAGGTGCTTTTTCAAAGGCAGAAGTCAAAACAGGTTGGTCAAAAGTCCTCCTCAACATCGATAAAAACTGCATACCACATTATCCAATGCAAAAACAACAACTATCACTACCATAGGTTAAAGGCACAATTAGTAGAATATGTCGCTTTTTGTTTGTAACTAGAAAACACAAGTAGGCAATTTTATATGCATCTTTTGTTGCTTTATTGTATGAGTTTAAACATTGTTTTTAATACAATTCCTACTCATTGTGCCTTTTACTCTTTGTTATTGCTCTAAAAAGTTTGGATCGGTCTCTCAAAACTCATATTTGTTCTCTCAGGTGAAACCAGGGACAGCAAGCCAGATACAAAAACAGCACCCAGCAAGCGTCCTCCATCGCCCCCGTACCCACGGCCTTCGTCCCCTATTGTTCTTGTGCCCCCTCTCAAGAAACGCAGGAAGACTGTCTCTTTCTCCACAGGCGAGAACGACAGCAAAATGCAGCTGCCGACTGCACCCGTATCTCCATCTCCCTCCCAACTGTCAGGTGAATCTCCCTTTTTCTCCCCTGGGAGGCACCCAGACTCTCCCGTCACCGCTTCTCCATCACCCACATCTCGTCCCTCTAAGGGCATCCAACTGCTTCCCTTTGCCTCCAAACCAGGTGAAGGCAATGCCCTCATTGTGCCCCCGTCTGTATACCAAGATTTGGATGAATCCAAAAAGGGACCCCCTGCTTCTCCTCAGACCCCCCCTATCAAATCCCCTGGGAAACGGGGTACAGGAAAAGATTCCCCCAAATCTCCCATCCCTCCTGGTATGGTGTGCCGCACTGTGCAGAACCTGCCATTGGACCACGCCTCTCTGTGCAGGATGGCCTTCGAGGAGGCCCCTCCGAACCATCCCGGCAACAAACGGTCCAGAGGCAGGCCTCGGACCACCAGCTTGTCTGCGTCCTCCAGTCACTCCCTCAGAGAGGAAGACGAGGATGAGGAAGAAAGTGAACAGAGGTTGAGACTCAGAGAGCAGCTTGGGGCATCGAGCCTCCTGCAGCTGGCCTCGGCTTCAACCACTGACCTCTCCGTGTTGGCTGACGTTGCTTTGAAAATGGACCCTGACACCGGGGACTCGGAGGAGACGGAGACATCTGACGAGGCAGAAGAGCAGAAGATGGAAGGTGATCTCCTCTCCTCAGAGTCTCTGGCCCGGGTAATGAGCCAAGAGGGTATATTTGTCATTACGGAACACAACTACTGCAAACCTCCTGTTCTCACAGTACCGTCCGGTACCAAAAGGACTTCCTCCAAACAAGACCCCTCAGTCTTGCTTCCAGCAGACCTTAACAATATTTCTGGGGTGCTTGAAGCGCCAGAGGAGGTCATTGGAGAAGCCCTTTCATCCAGAGGAGATAAAGGGGAATTCTTATCCACAATGGGAGTGCTTTGTGAGTCTGAGGGTGCAGGCCAGGCCGCATCTCTACCGCCATCGTCAAAGAAGAAGGCCATAGCTGGGAAAGGTCTTGAACTTGAAAAGGATATGAGCAAAAAGTGGAGAAGGAAAGACAAAGAAAACCTCGAGCTTCAGAACACGCAAAAACAGAAGGAGCAGCCAGGAAGCAAGAAACAGAGGAAGCGGAAACTAGAGGTGCGTGCAGCTTCTGCTTTGTTCCTGTAAAAGTGTTCTGAGGTCTTTACTGTAACCAGCGTGTCATCATTTACAATCTGTCAGTGTGTGTGACACAAAAGAAGTGACTCATTTGTTGTTCCAGGTTTAATGATGGCACATATTTCTCTTTTTTTCTTCCTGTGTGTCACGTGCACAAAATCTCCCATCCTCATAAAAAGATAGTATTGGCCTTTATACCAACATCCTGCAGAACTACAGAGTTAAGAGTTAATCAAAAAGAAAACTGATGGCATAACAGACACACATAACATTTGTATTTCCAGCATTGTATTCGTTGTGGATTCTGGCCTGATGATGTTTTTGTCGTAGCTGGAAGGAACGTGGCCCTGTTCCTTTATACAAGCAAACGAATCAGTCACATCAGTCTTAGTTTTTTCATTAAATTTGTTCAAACTTGCTGCTGTGAGAAAGTAGCTCGGCCTCCAGCACACCTGGTCGATGACTTATTTGGCCATTTGCTTCTGGCTGGAACCAGGCCGGTTTTGCAGCATGCTTTTAAAAAGAATTACTGTAAAACAAAGATATAGGGTTAAATCAATGTGTCATCTTCTGAGTCAAACAGATTTTTCTTGGGATCAATCTAGTAACATTTCATTGGTATTCATATTGCTCATCTCTGCTACCATGACTCATAAACATAATAACAATAACAACATCTCCTTCTGTGCAGGACTCGGAAGAAGAGGTGGATGTTGAGGAGCTTGAGTCTGGGGAGCTTTCCAGCTCAGACACAGAGGACGATATGGTTGAAGACGTTAGGAAGAGCGAGCGTCTCTTCCTGCAGGAGGCCGGGGTAACATCGTCCCAGCGCTGGCCCAAACCTGCCCCTGCATCCGAGCCATCAGCCATTAAGTATGACAACCGCAGTGAGTTTGAGCAGATGACCATCCTGTATGATATCTGGAACACGGGTCTGGACGGCGAGGACTTGAGTTTGCTGAAGAAGACTTATGAGAAGCTGTTACAGGACAACCACAGCTCGGACTGGCTCAACGACACCCACTGGGTCAATCACACCAATATCCTTTTCTATTACTCACTCCTGCATTATGTATGGTTGGCGTTGAAATGAACCCCAGTTACTAGGGGTGCACCGAATGGGAAATTCTTGGCCGAAACCGATACCGAAAATAGGAAACAGTTGGCCGAAAACCGAATGCCGAAAGGCCGAAAATGATTAATAGAAATATATATATATATATATATATATATAATGTATACATTTTTTACCAATGTTGTTCAGCTGCCTGATTATGGAAAAATAAATGATTATGGCAAAACTTAACTTAACTTAACTTAAATAATAATCACTATTATGGGGTCCATAAAACATTGTATCAGCACTTTTGAATATACTGTCTGTATAGTATATAGTCAGTGCATTTCTTCTTCATCTGATAAGTGTACTCTGATCTAGGATAATGTACTTCATATATTACTTGTAGTATTACTCCAGTATATAGTGATTCAGACAAAGCCAGTGCTTTAACATGTAACTGCATAACATCTAGGCAGTGGGCCTACAACACTAAATTGATAGATTACTTGCTAAATATAATAAGTCACTGTTATAAGGTATATCCTAGGCCTTCATACCAATACATACATATAACTGATATGCAGCCTTTATACACATTGTCCATGCATATTTAATAGATGTGCTGTAAACTAGTTACTGGGTAATTTAAATTCAGGTAATATGTATTTGCTCCATTGTAACTATTACAATATGATAATATTTACAATTGTAATGTCTAAGAATACTGTGATATAAGGCCTGTTACTGTCTTACTATCTATAG